ATAAAATTGGCTTCTCATTACTTTAAATATGGTCTTTTTGTGCAATAGCTGTGTTATTGAAAAAAACAGCGCAAAATGAATTCTACTAAATCAGATTGTATTTTAAATGCATGAAGGGATTTAGCTATTTAAAGGAAACCTGTGGTGAATTCTTTTGTAATGCAAATAATCACCTTCTAATTTATCTGTTTAGTAAGTTGAGCTTCTCATGTATCAGATTTTCTTAATATGGGGCTTGCTTGTACAGAAGAGCTTTCACAACCTTCTTTCACTGATGGGAGAAAGTCAGTCAGCTTCCAAACAAAATCAGTTATTGTGTTCAGTTGGCAAAGCCTTGCTCTGGTATTTGAGCATAATCTCATATTCCCTTATTATTAAATAATAGAATCTCAGGACGGGAAGCTGGAAGACACCTTAGAGATCATATGGTCCATCTCGCTCATTTCACAGATGAGGAAATGGAAGCACACGGAGGTAAAGTGACATGTTCAGTTTCACCAGCTAGTGACTGTCAGACAAGGATCCAATTCTAGGCCTCTGTTGCCAGGGGAGGGCTCTGTCTGGCCCATCCTCACTCTGCTCCCACAAGATTCCAGGGCCATGCACACATGTTGCACCATAGGAGATGACAGACGAGTATGATGCATTTTCTAAAACAACCCACAAGAGCTGCAAGTATGGGATGTTTCAAGTGAAACTGCTGGATTTCCAATTTTGTAAGTTGATGACAATATTCAGCCTAAACTTTTTGTTAAAGAGCAGAGTGGAATCCAGCATAGGGATGCTGTTTGGCCTTTTTATGAGAAAAAAATTACAATTCTTGACTAATGGCATTCCTCAGTGAGGATTTTACCATATCATGTCTGAAAGGCACTTGCCAGTGCTGGAGGAAGACATGATGACAGACTCTGATAGATACTATATGGGTTGGTGGGTTTGTTCTCATTAGCATCAGCCTGGCCAGGAAACCTGATTTGAAGCAGAGGTGTTTGGACAAGCTGTATTTGATATTCTCAACCCTTTGAGAGATTCAGAAATCACCCTTCCCTGGAAATGCCCCCAGATTGTCCTCTCCTAATTGGTACATTATTTTTCTTAAAGAGCTAACCATTGAAGATATACACATTTCTGAAAGATTTCAGTGAAGAGGCAGGGCCTTCACCCTCCTGTGTGTCGTCACAGCCAGTCTTTGCAGCACTGGGGGCTTTTTCAAAGGTCAGGACCCACCTTGGTGGCCTGAGGATTTTGACTGTGGTACCACTTACTAGCTCATACTCAACCTCTCTGAGCCCTCTTTTCTCTTCTATACAAGAGCTAAGGATTGATGTATGAAAATTCAATGAGATGCTCTGTAAGGCACTTGCGACTTTGGTATGGAGAAGGTATGTCGAAAATAAAAAAAGCAGAATTCAGGGCCCTGGCCCTTGAGGAGCTCTCCTTACTACTGGCCTTTCAGGAAACAGCTAGAGCACTGTTAGGGAGCCACAGACCCTCCCCAGCAGGCTGCAAGACTGTTGATAGAAGTGCTAATGATGTATGATGTACCGTGTACTTAGGACGGTCTGGGAGGGAGTAAACAGGAAGAGCTTCCAGGGTTAATGGTTAAGCCTCCTCAAAGGTTTTGAAGCCCCTCCTGTGGGCTCAGAAACAGTGCAAGGCGTCTGCTCCCTTCAGAGATCAGTTTCAGAAGTGCAGACCTCACGCCTCCTTGAAAAAGTTAATCAGCACAGGCGAGGTTTATACTAAACACCAGAGGAAGGTCAGTTTGAGAGAAAAACTGTTTTATTTTAAATCAAGCACAGAACATGAAGTAGAGTTATTTGGCTCCATAGCACAAAACTTCCTTTAATCTCTTTCTATTTCTTTAAAACTCATTGACTTCAACTAGGATGAGTTTAGATGAAAGCTCACAAGAATTGCATAAGAGCAAAATGAGGTGATGTAAGATCATACAATGAAATCGAATACGTGTAATTATTCACAAACTTTCAGATATGTTTTTTCTTAGAATTTAAAAGGGGAAATGAACTTTCTAGCCATCGAGAGTCTGTGATTTTTATGACAATGTATCAGATTTTGAAATAACTGCAATATTTCAATATTATAAGTAGCTCTTATGTTAATTTTAAAGTGACAAACAAAAATCAGTAAAAACCTCATCAACTGGGTAAATGTGGAAGAAGTTGCTCTGCTTTAGTGGAAGATGAGTTCCAGACTAGATTAGCAATGATTAGCAAAGCTCCTATTTAGTGAGCACTTATCCTGTGTCAGGTACTGTGCTTTCTGTGTGTGCTGTATGGCAGGTTCTGCCGCCCCTTTACAGACAAGAAAACCAAGTTTTAGAGAGGTTATGTGCCTTTAGTTCTATGTTGCAGAGGAGAAAACTTAGGCAAAAATTCAAGTGAGCTGTCCAATAAATAATAACCAGAATGGAACCTCTCATTTTCCATTCAAGTGCATTCATCCAGTAAACAAAACTAATTCCCACCTCACTGCTTTTCATTCCCCCACCTTTCCTTAACTTGAAGCTCTAAGCAGACCTATGAGATGCTAACAAGACTAAAAATTATTGCAAACATGAATATTTTTAAAAGAAACTCAATTTTATTACTTCCAGGACTGTGCAGAAATGGAACTAGGTCAATGCCACATGAGTAGGTAAGGATGAGTTGTAATTAACAGATGGACTGTTTTTATGTCTGTCTATAATTGAAAACCGTTTATTCAAGTGTTGTAAGTACTTGGGAGGCAGGTTGGTATAATGAAGAAAGGCTGGTCTTTGGAGTACAACAGGTCTCCTTCCTTTTCCCCTTAAACATTTCTCCTTCATGTATCCATTTATTCTGTGCTCTGTCAGAAGGGATATGCTAAGGGTCAGCCCAGCCAAGTGGACTTGGTCTCAAGTTCTGAATTAGTGGTTAGAGTTAATGAGGTTTTACTGTCTTATAACTGGGCTTTCTTGTGAAACTGTAAAACACAATCCTACTTCTCTTAATGGGTGGTCAGTGTAATTTATGGTCCATCACTTCTAGTTTCACCCAGAAAGTCAAGTTGACGTTCTAAGTGTTTCCTTTTGTGGAATGCCTGAGGTCAGGCTGTTGTCAAGTCACAGATTTTCTGAGGGAGAAGCAGCTGCTAGGAGAATTGAATGTGAGGGAATATCAGTCAAGTGGTGAGAAAAATCAGAAAAGGACTAGGTATTTTGGGGCAGAATAGAGAAAATCTAGGACTTAGTATGTGCCAGGAGGCAGGGAAGTCTTTGTCAGGCAGACTAGAACTATTTCAGCTGAGTGGGTGACTGGCTGAGTACACCTGTATACTCCAGGTGTACACTCAGTATTCCAGGGTAGTGGGCTATGACAAGGCCCCTTTTCTATCTGAAAGAGGAAAAAAGTGCAGCTTTGTCTGAAGGCTTTTGGACATATGTTCGGTTGTTCTCTAGGGAGGCACCATCCTTTCCTTTGGGACAGGGAGGTTGGAATGAACATTTTATGAACTGGAAAGTGAACAAGTGAATGGAAAATACAACCAGATGTTGGTTGGCTTAGGTAGAGGAGAATTGTCCAAATTTCAGGTTTCAAACCCATATAGATAAATAGGTTAGAAATCAGCATTAGATTAACCATCCTGCCAAAATAAGTTGGTACTGTTTATTCTCTTAATTATATGTGTGCTTCAAATCTCAGATTCCCTAATGTTAAGTCAGTTCTTGTTTTCAGGTAAGCATCTTCAAAAGTCCTTTGAAAGAATCTCAAGGAATTCTTTAAGAGCAAAAGTTCTAGAATAAACTTTTTCTATAGATTTGCTTGTAGACGTTTTCGCTCTAGGTTATTTCTAGTCTTGACGAAATAACTGTTTCCCCCACTGAGTCAGACAAAATTAAGAAGCTCTTCAATTGATCTCCGGCTCTGATTTGCTCCTGGTGATTCTAGGATCAAGGCGTGTTTGCTTCAGAACTGTAAGCAGACCCATTGCTTCCACTCCGACAAATTAATAGGAAACTCTGACAATGGTGATAGGAATATCTTCACATGTAACCCTCCCTATGTGTTTAATTTTCAAGTTTTTGTTTTGTTGCCAGACAACAAGATAATTCCTATGAAATAGCTGACATACTATGTTAAATCATTTCACAAGCTATAAAACTTATACATTTTGGGATCCTTGGGTGGATTTCTTTATCTTTCTTTTTTTTTTGTGATTGAATAATCATTTTTTTCCCCACTGGGAAATCTGAGGCACCAAAAAATGTCATTAACAGATAACTGGCTTGTTGAATACTTCACAGAAAATAACCTTTCATTATGATTTTGTGGACAAAATTTAAATGCTAAATTCAGACAGCTGTAAAAAGTAAAAACAGATTTGAAAAGAAATAATACCATCAATCACATGGAAACTGGCTTTAGTGGAATAAAATGGTAAATAAAAATACTTTCTGGCTTGGGAGAATCAACCTAGTTTCTGATAGTTTTCTGTTTCCCTTGCTCCAAAAGTGTCATCAATCTCTCTGTTTAAATGCAGTGCAGCCAGGTGTTCAGAATCATAGGAGGAAAAAAAAATTAGTTTCTTACTGAATAGGGGAAATTAAACAAAAAAAGAGGTTTAGTGTAAACAGGGCTTAAAAATATAAAAAATGTAGACCCATTGAATTGAACTTTTTTTTTCCCTCCTCCCACCTCCCAGGAATAATTCTGCTACAGGGCTGACTTCAAGGACGTGAATTGTTGACCTCATCCCAACATCAGAACCTCAGCTGTTATTCTAATTTTTGCACCATTCCAGGCAAGTTGACTTTATATGGAAATAAAATTGAACCTTAGGGGTCTGATGGAAATTCACTGTGACATTCAAATCAAGAAAACTTGCTGAAACCCACAGAGCCTTTTCCCCATGGGCCCTGATGGTAGCCTCCAGAAGGTACAACCTCAGGTGGTCCCTCTTCTTCTGTGGCAAGAATAAACTCTGGGTCTTGGATTGCAACACCACCTGTGGAGAAAATGGTATGCGAGGGAAAGCGATCAGCCTCTTGTCCTTGTTTCTTCCTCCTGACCGCCAAGTTCTACTGGATCCTCACAATGATGCAAAGAACTCACAGCCAGGAGTATGCCCATTCCATACGAGTGGATGGGGACATCATTTTGGGGGGTCTCTTCCCTGTCCATGCAAAGGGAGAGAGAGGGGTGCCTTGTGGGGAGTTGAAGAAGGAAAAGGGGATCCACAGACTGGAGGCCATGCTGTATGCAATCGACCAGATTAATAAGGACCCTGATCTCCTCTCCAATATCACTCTGGGTGTCCGGATCCTGGACACGTGCTCCAGGGACACGTATGCTTTGGAGCAGTCTCTAACGTTCGTGCAGGCATTGATAGAGAAAGATGCTTCCGATGTGAAGTGTGCTAATGGAGATCCACCCATCTTCACCAAGCCTGACAAGATTTCTGGAGTCATAGGTGCTGCAGCAAGCTCCGTGTCCATCATGGTTGCTAATATTTTAAGACTTTTTAAGGTAGGTAAAGGCATTGTCTTTCTGGCTATTGTGAAAAGACAAATTGTTCTGACTTCAACTGCAGGTTTAAGAAGAAATTGAAGATGGTGAAGATGCTCATAGACCCTTTCAGGGTCACCAGATTCCTCAAATAGAGGATCCTGTGTCCGAGTTTCTACATGTGTTGATTTAATTCCATTATTTACAATTAATTGGATTAATTGTGACCTTTTTTTCTGAAAACACCGAAAGGTGATAATTTCTGTGACATGTCAAGTCCTCAGCATCTTGGGATATCATTGAGGCTCATTTTAAATCAAAGCAAGTGTTTTTAGAGAGTATAATGAACTCTTAGCACATTTATTATATAAAACATTTCTATGATATTTGAGGTTTAAGATAATTTGCTTGGTGAAACTTCTTTAAAGTGGGATGCTCTGTTATGACAAATATTCCTGTGTGAAGAAACATATTTATTACGAATGTGTAGATGGGAGTGACACTCTGGCATATAAGATGGCCATAAAATTGTCAGGTTTATTATAGCTACAATAGCGCAGAACCTCATTAATTCAGACTGCACTGATGCAGATTTGGAGTAATTATATAGAATTCTTATTGAGTTAAAACTTCAAATTTAGCAGGATAATTCGAGACTTTTTGATTTAGCTTTGATGATCTATTACCTATAAATTGCATTTACATATTGAATAAAATTGGCAAAATAAAATAATGTACCAAACAGTACTTTCAAAAGTATAAAGTCCCATAAAAATAGTTATTGTAACTCGCCATCTTTCATTAACTTTCTCGTTTTATTTATTAATATCCATTATGTAGTCTTTTATAACAGACATTTTTTTAATTGAAAATACTTTTCACTCTGAATTTGTACTCAGTGGGACATGACTTTTCCAACTTAGTCTGAATTAATGAGGCTTCGTTTTATCTTGTGAGAAACTGTTTCTATGCATTTTAGATTTAAAAATATTAAAAGGATATGGAGAAGTTGGACAGGAGACAGATGTAGGGACAAAAATGAACAGTGATGGAAAACTGACTTCACAAAAAAGATGAAAGGAATTGAATCAAAGTCTTTCTGACTTGGAAGATATCTTGGGGGACCATCCAGTCTGGTTCCCTTCATATTTTGGAATCCTCCCTGTAACATCCCCTCAAGTGGCTATCCACCTTCTGTATGAATGCCCTCAGTTTACAGGAAACAATGCTAAGAGGCAGTTTAGTGACTATTTTCAGATTGATGCAATTTTCTCAAATGATGATGCTGCTGAGCAGAAGGTCTCTGTGTCTAAGAAGTACTGAAGAGGCACAAAGAGGCTTAGGGAATGTTGGGGACATTTGAGCATGACGTTAGGAAGACCCTCTTGGAAATGAGAAGGATATAGATTAAAATAGGCAGCCAAGGGTGCTCTAATTCTCCATCTCTGGAAACTTTCAAGGGAAACTGGCAGGTTGGTAATAATTTCTCTTAGGGTAGCTGACCTCTTGCCTGGAGGCAAGATGCAAAACCAGGATTCTCCAGGTTTCCCCCACATCTTAGCATCTAAGATTTCTCCAGGCAGTCTCAATTTGGAGCCACATGGCATTTTCTGCTCCAGGGTGATGTCTAGCTCCAGCCACTTTCCCAATTCTCTTCTCCTCTCTAACTTGATCTTCCTCCCTGACTGCTCCAAAGTGTCTCTTTCCTGTTCTTAACTCAGTAACCACAGCTTAACACCACCCACTTTTAGAGAAGAGGAAGCCTTCATGAGGTCTTCTTCCTTCTATTACCCTCCCCTTATACACTAATTCTGGTTTCCATCAATCCCACTGGACTTCCTAGGAATCCCATCTCCTTCCTCTAATCTAGTGCCAAAAGTAGGCAAGGATTTGAGGAGTGGGGTGGAGATGATAATTGCTTATTTGAGGTTTTTAAAGCATGTTTACATTAATTTTGCTACAGAATCAGCTTATCTGAAAATGGGGATATTAGCATTGTGTTAGATTGTTGGATGGATTTAATGGGAAAATGCAGGTGAAGGGTTCCACTAGGGCCCGGCTGTGTCCTTTGCCTCCTTGGGCTGCCAAAGGGAACTTTAGGCTACCTCAAGGGTGAGTTTTGTTTTTATGCAGTCTAGAACTGGTTTCTCTTTGCTCTGTTCTTCCCTTGTTGACTGGCCAATTCTATCTTTACTCTCCTTGGAAATTCTGCAGGGACCTTATTTGACCAGGTGGGAGAATTACTACGGACTCTTTGGGCAGAGTCCAATGCTCCAGGCCACCTCTTGAGACAGTGGTCAGCACATGATGGGGCTGCTCTTGCCACCCTTGACCAAAGCACAGGGAGTGAGTGACTTTCAGCCAGGAGAGGGTTGGTTATGGTAGATGTCATAACTAAGATCAGTACACTGGCACGGAGTGATCATTTAATATATGGGAGCAAATGTATTTATTAGCCAAATTACCAGGACTTGAAAAATTTGTGTCTTTCGAGAATAAGTGAGAGGATATAGGTGCTCAGCCCATCTTCCAGCTAAACCTAGAACCATATGAATGTGAATTCGGTAATTACAACTTATCATTGTTGTGCTACTTATTTTGATGATTTATATGAGAGCACTCCACATCGATATTAATTATGAAATGATTATGGTCACTCTTGGACTAGAAAATGTTTCATTTTATGTGTGAATATATTCTGTTTAAACACATATGCTAGAGGGCCGGCCTGGTGGCATAACGCTAAGTGCGTGCACTCTGCTTCTGCGGCCTGGGCTTGGCAGGTTCGGATCCTGGGTGTGCACCGAAGCATCACTTGTCAAGCCGTGTTGTGGCAGCGTCCCATATAAAGTAGAGGAAGATGGGCACGGATGCCAGCCCAGGGCCAGTCTTCCTCAGCAAAAAGAGGAGGATTAGCATTGGATGTTAGCTCAGGGCTAATCTTCCTCACACACACACACAAAAAAACCCACATATGCTAGGACTGACATGAAATATTAGAATAGTTATCAAAGGAATGATTAGCATATTCATTGGGGATTGGATTACAGTTCCATTTTGAAAAATAAGAACTTGCTTAAGCCAAATGCTATGACTTGAATAAACGTGAACCTTTGGAACAGTCTCATGGAGCTTGTGCCCCTCCGGGATGCATAAGACCCATAGAATCTAAAACTATGAGTGGATATCAATAGATTGCCACTTATTCTTGGATTAATGGAGTTAAAGAAGGTAGAGCATATTGGTTTGAAAACACACAAACAATTAACCTTGACCATAAGGGATGTAAATAAAGTCTTGATTAATGAATTTACTTACTGTCCTGCTAGACAATAAGCATTAGTTGGGGATTTTAGAATAGCTGGGGCCTGTTTAAATATTTGGGCTAAAATGGGAAGTAATTTCTAAATATCCCAGTTCTCTTTTTTTGGACAATCCTAGTAAAGCCATGTAGTATCTGCCTACATGGGCTGCCTATCTGGGCGAAATTGTGAAGGAGACAAGGTCCTCCAGGCATCCGCATTTTCCTCTTCCTTCAGTCTTGCCCCTCCTGTGATAGCCTCTCCTGTCCTTGTATCCCCCTATGTTCCCCTGATTGAAGCCTGGTTTCAGGAAAGGAGCTACGTATTATCCGTCATCTGTGTATAGCATGTCTGTGTTTAAGTCAGAGGAGGATTCTATTTTCTGCAGGATCACTAATTGTGGAATGAAATGATTTATCTTTGTAAAGGGGATTCAGGCATCGGTGGAGGAGGTTCATTTAACCCCCCAGAGACTGCATCTCATGGGGGGGTCACGTCCTTTGCCCGGGAGTACAGCTGGCCTTGTTCATCTCTAGAGGGCAAGGGTATCATCCTGTCGTTGTTTCTCTTCCCGTCACAGCTCAGAGGCAAGTGAAAAAATAAGCCCCTTGAACTTCAGAAGAGAGTTGGACAGGGGGCTGGAGCCGGACACCACCTGGGGGCGGAAGCTATCCTGTGGCCTCGGCCCATAGGACACTGAATGCTCTACTAAACCAGTGATTCTCAACCCTGCTGTGGGGATGGGGTTCATACCACTCTCTCCTCATGCCTCAGGGGTATGTGTTGGCTTACCAAAACTACCTCAGGGGATTTTCAAATGGCAGGACCCGGTGAGTGAGTGCGTGCCTCCCAACCCACTTCCTGAAAGCAATTTTCATGGATTGAAGTGTTTCATGTTTCTTAGGTGTGTTGGGAGTGAAAACAAGTTTGAGAGTCACAGAACAAGACTTTAATGATCTGAACTTTTTAGAAGCACTACTGTGCCTTAAAACACATACCTACATACACACACACATGCACACATGTCATGTATGGGTTAACATGGGGGCAGAGTGGTCACCTAGGCAATTGTTTAATCCCTATAGCAAGATGATGGTTTTAGATAATGGTGGTATCAATTAGGATAATATAACATGTAACTGCAGAATATCAAACCCAGAACTGCTCCATCCTATGTAAAGGTGAAAATGCTGCCTCAGGGGCTCCTGTATTGCAGAGAGATCAAAGAAAAAGGGGTCTAGCTCTCAGTTAGAGATTGTGTAGTTTGAAAAGAATTAAAGAAGAATGCGATGGCCTTTTGGAAATGTTGACTGGGAAGCCCATAATTTGAGTTTGTTTTATAAAGCAATTTTGAGGAATTTGCATATTTTGTAAAAAGCCTGGAATTTTTCCCTTTTCTAGAACATTTCCACCCTTCTCCTTTAAATTAGAGCAAATCTGTTCCTCAAAACACTAATCATATGTCTTACTTTGAGCAAAGATTGAACATTCTAAGCTAAAAATAGCACATTGTTGCTTGGAGGTAACACACATTAATGTCCACATCAATGCACTGGGGTTATAAAAGGACTGTGTCAGATGTAATTTCTCTTTCTCATGTTTTTCTAGTTAACTTTATCTAGAGAGTTAATTGTCTACTCTTGAAGGATAGTGGTTAGTCTGTAGTACATACTTCTCAAAGCAATCAAATGAGACATTTAAATAGAAATCCGCTGTGGG